AACTTTGCTACTAGTGCTGGAGCAAGATGGTATCTCATTGTTGTTTTGATTTGCATCTCTCTAATAGCTAATGATCATGAACATTTCTTCATATGTTTGTTGGCCGCTTGAATGAAGACACTTGGTGAAGTGTCTATTCATGTCTTCTGCCCATTTTTTAATTGGATTGTTTGTCTTTTTGTTATTGAGGTGTTGGTCTTTGAAAGTTTTGATACTAATGACCACTCCTTCTTTATTGCCCTACCTTCCTTTTTTTCTCCTACCACTCTGTGGTGGTTAAGTTTGTGTGTCAACTTGGCTAGGCCTGGTTGAGTGGCTGGGCAGCTGAATGCAGTTATTCCCCATGGGGAGATTGGTAATTAACTCCATGGTGGAATCTACTAGAGCAGGTGAGTAGCAGCTTTGGGTATGTGGTCTGCTTCCCATATATAAGAAACAGCTTTGGGAATGGTCTCTAGCTTGCGGCACACTTGAACTCTGCATGTAGCTATGTAGTTGTTCAGCAGCCTGCCATGCTCTGACGACCTTGGGACTTTCAATGGACCTGAATCAATGACCTGCTGTGTTGTTTGGTAACACTGGGACTGTGGCTTTTTACTTGTCAACCTTGGGTTTGTCATCTGAGGGAAGAAAAGCCTCCAGTTTCAGTGGGCCGGAAGCAGGAGGCAGAGTTAAAGCCCAACGTTGAGGGGCTTTCACTTAGCCCTTAGAGCCTGACACTTTGAACTTGGACTTAAAGCCTCCAAACTATAAAAGAATAAACTCCTGTTTGTTAAAGCCATCCCATTTGTGGTATATTCCTGTCAGAGCGGCACTGGATAACCAAAACACACTATGACCACTTCTCATTGACTGCTCTGTCCTCTTACCCCTAAATGCAGACATCCCTAATTTCTGCCATTTTCTGTACATACACTCTTTCTTAGAGATGTCAGTTGAAGCTGAGTGACAGGGTGAGGCCTCCAAAGAAAAGTGCATATAAAGAAAAGAGCAGCTGAGCACTTAAACAACTATCAGTGCTCATCACACACACACAGAGAGTTAGTCCCTGGGTTACAAACATCCAACTTACAATTTGTGCTTACCATTTAATGTTATGTAACTTTGCCCTTACTTTGAAATGATTGAACTAACCCCTACTCACAACAAATTCTTCAACACAATTACCTGCATTTGTTGTATGTGCAGCTTTCAAATCATCAAAAAGACTTCTAGCCTTTTCTTGCAGTAACCAAACTCCACTGCCATCGAGTCAATCCCAACTCATAGCGATCCTATAGAACAGAGTAGAACTGCCTCACAGGGTGTCCAAGACTATAAATCTTTACAGTAGTAGACAGCCTCATCTTTCTCCTGTGCTGTGGCTGGTCAATTGGAACTACTGATTTTTTCCTTTAGCTGCCCAAAGCTTTAACCACTGCCACCAGAGCTCCTTTCTTACACTAAAACCAAACCAAACTCACTGCCATTGAGTCATTTCCAACTCAGAGCAACCCCCATTGGGTTTCCAAGGCTGTAAATCTTTATAGAAGCAGACTGCCTCGTCTTTCTTCCGCAGAGCTGTTGGTGGGTTTGAAAAACCAACCTTTTGGTTAGCAGCCTAATGCCTTAAACACTGTACTACCAGAGCTCCTTTCTTGCACTAAAGTAAGGTTAAATAAAAAAAAAACATATGTACCTATTTCAACTTATCTACAAATTCAACGTAACCCTTTCAAGAATTATTTTCTGCTTTTTTAAATTATTATTATTGTTGTTGTTGTTGTTGTTGTTGAAACCATGTGTTTCCAGTATGGAAGGCATTTTGAATGAAATGGAAAAAAATTTTTTTTGATGTGATATGGATTTTGATTCAATTAGTAGGACACATATGTTCTGAGGGGTCTCTGGTGCTGGGGTTGGTAGGAAGAGGCCCATTTCTTTAGATTCTGGCAGTTATACAGTAGGCTACCAGATGGCAGCAGGCTACCAGATGGCAGCATGCACTAAAAATGGGATAGCAGCTTTCCACTAACCCCCAAACCAAAAACCACTGCCATGGAGTCAACTCCCACTCATAGTGACCCGATAGGACAGAGTAGAACTGCCCCCATACGTTTTCCAAGGCTGTAAATCCCTACAGAAGCAGACTGCCTCATCTTTCTCCTGCAAGTGGCTGTTGGGTTCTAAATGCCAACCTTTTGATTAGCAGCCAAATGTTTTAACCACTGCACCACCAGAGCTCCTTCACTAAACTCCAGAGGTGGAAAATGTAGGTGGGCACTGTACATCCCACAGGTCATGAAAGGATTAAAGACACATTAATAGCATATTTTTTTCTATAATTCTGAATTCTTAATTTTAACTTATAACGAATGCTTTAATGTCAGGCAGGTCCAAGTCTGAAACATGGAATATGAGATTAACTGTAGGAAATCTCTCTGGCCTCAAATTCAGTCATAAGCATCCTTTTTTGGCAATCATTGTGCCTTTTTTTTTTTTTTTCTCCCAAGGAGCCCTGGTGGCGCAGTAAACCGTCTGGCTGCTAACTGAAAAGCTGGCGATTGGAAAACCCCAGACGGAAATTGGGGTGGGGTTGGGATTGGTGGTGTGAGCAAAAGGGTGGAGTGGCCAGGGAAACGTGATTTCCCACCTGAAACCTGAAGGTTCCAGTGTCTGTATGGATCTAGTTAGTTTAGGTTATAACTAAGCGATACAAGGTTAAGAACACTGTCCAAACTAGTGTCAAACTGTTTTGAGTTCCTTAAACCTAAAATGAGGGGACTCAACTGGTAACCCTCAACATCTCTCTCTAGGTCTAACTCTGAATCTAAAAACACCCATTTCCTTTCTTCACAAAAGGTCCTACATAAACGAAGCCTTGGGTTGAGAGCCTTCCTCCTCTACCTGCTGGATTTCCTTTGCCGGAAATATGGGGAGCGAGACTCACTCTCTAAATTCGCCTTATCAAACCCAGTCATGACCATGCCCTTGGCGCCCCACCTTAATGACTTCTCAGAGCTCCCCACACCTTCCCTGAACGTCCTCCACTCACGCCCCACCTTGGCTGTGACCTCGAGAATAGCTGTTGTTCGTTCTTCCTCAAAGTACAATATAGTCTTGGGATCCGCGTGTACTTTCCGCGAAGCCCATAGGTCTTTCCATACTGACAGTGGAGGGTTGAATCGACTCTCTCGACAATCTTCGCGCCTTGGACCCGCCCCCTCAGCCTGACTCCAGGCCGCGGAGCACCGATCGGCTCGATGATACGGGGGCGCTGCTGCCGCGGAGCTGCAGACTTTGGGTCTGTGCCCCACAGTCCGTCCCCCTCCCCGCCTTCTTCCCAGGTTCCCGCTCCTTCCCCCGCCCTCACAGCACAACACGCCCAGAAGAGGTGCCCAGAGCTCCCCGGGAGCCACAGGTACTGGCGCTGGCCTGATTCCGACGGGAGGGGCTGGTGTTACCAGGAAGCGAAGACAGCGCCCATGCCCCGCCTCCCCCCAACGTCCGGTCGGTCCAGGTGACTGGCCTGTGGGTTGGGGGGGCGACGAGGCAACCTGGGTTGGAAAAGGCTGGGATCGGGGCGGAGGAGGAGGAGACATTGAGGGATTGGGGGGAGGGTGCCGCGGGGAAGGTGGGCAAGAACTGGGGTGTGCGGATGAGGGGCGGTTGAGGAGGGAGAAGAATTGGAATTGAGGGATGCTCTGGGAAAATGAGAATAGAGCATTGCCTGGGATGGGGAGGGTCTGGGAAGAGTGGGAGGCATCTGGAAATGTGAGTGGTTATTCTGGGGCAAAGAAGGGCCAGAGTTAGGAGCAGATGTCGGGGGACGTGGCCTGGTGTGACAGATGGGGTGTAGAGGTAAACGGATCTGCTAGCTAGAGAGCATGGGTCTGTTTCATTATTTAAGAGCTCAGGAGAAAGAGTATCAACCCTGCTGAGTTTTTAATGGCTGGATGGTGATATGAATCATTATACTTTGACAGGCTTGGTGTATGTCTCAAGGCTGTGTCCATCCAAGTCAGTCACTTTATTTCCGTGAAACTGCACCTACCAAGACTGCTGTTGAGAGATGGAGGCAGAGAAAAAGGAAAGCCTCTGCTGGGACTCAAGCTTTTTATGAAATGAAATACATAGGGTTTTTACATAAAGCAAAAAAGGGGGCAATATTTATTAAACAACACATGAGAGGTTTATTATGTGTAAAACCATTGAATAGAGAAATACATACATAAAAATTTAAAGATATGATGATGTCATTAGAAGCCTAAAGTGATGTGATACTTTTTAGTGAATTGGATAGAAGTTGTGTGTCCTAAGTGTTGAAATAGGCAATGAAGGCTTTCTTTTATATATATATAAATTCAAACCAAACTTGCTGCCCTGGAGTCAATTCCAACTCACAGCAACCCTATAGGACAGAGTAGAACTGCCCCACAGGGTTCCCAAGGCTGCAAATCCTTGGAAGCAAAGTGCCACATCTTTCTCCTGTGGAGCAACTGATGGCTTCTAACCACTGACCTTTCAGTTAGCAGCCAAGTGCTTTAACCACTGCACCAAAAGGGCTCCTATTCATGTCTATACCTAGACACAAACTCCTAATTTTCATTTATTGTTTTGCAGGTGAAATCTTAAGAATATGTGCAAATCTGATTTCTGAGCATGGTTCATTTCTACTAGTTATTGGTACAAACATCATCAGTTACCCTAGTGTATCAATATAGCTAATGAATCTGCCTCCTGCTTTACTGATGGCTTTTGTTTGTTAGACATTGGTTTCTCACCTTCATGAGACTGATTTTTTGAATTATTAGACTGGAAAATGGGATTTACTCACCATTAAACTTGAAGGTTTACTCTATATTTCATAAAGATGTTATATAATAAGTCTACCAGTTATTTGCTTTGGGATGTTAGGGCAGCTCCTTTGTAGGATTTAAAATGTAAATAAACTACAGATACATACACACACACACACACACACACACACATGGAACAACTCAAATTCTTAAGTTGTTTCCTTTGTCATCTGTTTTTCCATGCATTCTGTAACATTTCTGCATGAATGAATTATTCTAAAATCAAAGTATGATGAATAAAATGGCCAGATGTACTGACAGAAATATGCAATGAAGAACTCTAGCAAGAATTTGCTTTTTGTTTCATGTGGTTAAGTTTCTGGTTTGGAAGCATTTCTTGTCAAAGAATATTGTGCTAATTCATTTTGACAGGAAGCTTATTTAACTATTACTTTTATTTGGTTTATGAAACTGAATCCTAATAGCATTTAAAGATCTTAGAGGTGTTTATTCTTGTGGATCCTTTTTGAGGTCTACTGGGAGCTCTGGTGGCGTAGTGCCTAAGGCATTTGACTGCTAACCAGAAGGTTGGCGGCTCAAACTCACCAGCCACTTCTTGGAGGGAAGGTTGGGCAATCTACTTCCATAGTGATACCACCTCCGAAACCCAAGGAGGGATCGCTATGACTCGGATCTGACTCAATGGCAGTGAGTTTAGTTTGGTGTTGGTTTGGGTTGTTATAGGAAGGGATGCCTTTCTAAAATAATTTTATAACCTGATAGGCAACTAATTGAATAAATATTAAAACTAATAATGCACAGCCATTGATTGGTTTATCCCTGTGTTTCTGCTATTTAAATGAGTTGAGTGACTAACACTGTTACTTACTTTTACTAAGCCTTAATTTTCTTTTAGTTTCCAGTGTCTGCTTCAAAGGAGTATTGTAAAGATTAAAAGAAAATGCACAGAAGTCACTGAGCACAGTGCCCAACCAAAAAAAAAACCAAACTCACTGCCATCGAGTCGGATCTGACTCATAGCAACCCCTTCTTGGTTTTCCGAGGTGGTATCGCTATGGAGGTAGATTGCCCAACCTTCCTTCCGAGGAGTTCCTGGTGGGTTTGAACTGCCAGCCTTCTGGTTAGCAGTCAAATGCCTTAGACACTATGCCACCAGAGCTGAGCATAGTACCTAGCACATAGTAAAATATTCAGCACATTTGAGCTAGTCTTGATATTCATTCATCTTTTAATCTGAGATTCTGAAACCTGGTTATTTGCACAGAACAGCTTTTTCACAAGTAAATTTTGAGTATGTTGCAAACTCAAGATTATTCTGGAAAGTCACATTGCATATTAGCATATAAAAAGCTGTGAGAAGTTCTGTAGTAAAGAAAACTAGTTTTATTTAACCCAGTTATTACCAAATTTAGGAGCTCTGGTAGCGTAGCACCTAAGACGCGTGACTGCTAACCAGAAGGCTGGCGGTTCGAACCCACCAGCCAGCCCTTGGAAGGAAGGTTGGGCAATCTACTTCCGTAGTGATACTGCCTCGGAAACCCAAGGAGGGGTTGCTATGAGTCGGGTCTGACTTGACGGCACATAACAACAACAACATTACCTAATTTAGCCCTTATCATGGAGAACCTAGTAATACACCTTGAAACTGAATGTTGTAGTTTGCAGAATGTTCTTGCATGTATTACCTGATTTGCAACTCTATGCAAGAGCGTAAAAGTCATTTTATAGATGAGGAAACAGAATCATTGTTTAAACAACTAAAAGGAGGAATACTAAGTGTTCTACTCTTTTCTGATTCCAATTTAAAATCTTAGAGTCATTAATGTTTTATTTCTTATTTTTCCCTTCTCCAGGACTATCTGATCATTCATTTTATAAAAACCTAATCCACTCATTTCTTCTACATGTAATCTTAAGGTTTCATAACTTTCTTACATGTTGAGGCCAAGCATGGAGGCCAGGGTCACTGGAACAGAACAAGTGAGGGAGTAGTCAAAGTCAGAAAGTGTGGGAGAACTCATCATACTGAGCCTTGTAGGCTGTTTTAATATTTTGGATTATACCCAAAAATCTCAGATCTCATGAAATTTATTTTTTCTTGAAGGTGGTGAATTCTTGCTCTACTGGGAAGTAGAAAAGTGCTTCGTAGTAAAAAAATATGCCTCCCAAGTTCAAACGCCACCTAAATGATGATGATGTCACTGGTTCTGTGAAAAGTGAAAGGGTAAGTTCAGAATTGAAGCTTTAAAAAAGAAAGATCCAATATGTTTTCAGTCCTTTTGTATATAATTTATTTCATAAAAATCTAAAATTTATGGCTTTATTCTAATTCTGTCTTCTTAGTAAACAGATTAAGAAATATATTACTTAGATTGGTGACTCATTGAATTCTACTTCCATTATCTACCAAGTCAGGTTCACAGTTTCTTTCTAGTCTTTAAGATAAATTTTATAAAAATACACAATGTCTTACTCAGAATTTTTCAGAGTTTAGAAAGGTAGTAAAGTATATATTATCTAATAACTTTTGGAGGCCTTGAGTACCAAAACCCAAACCCATTGCTGTTGAGTCAATTCTACCTCATAGTGATCCTCTGGGACAGAGGAGAACTGCCCAATAGCGTTTCCAAGGCCATACATTTTTAAAAACAGACTGCCACATCTTTCTCCTGCAGAATGGTTGGTGGATTTGAACCGCTGACCTTTTGCTTAGCAGCTTAGTGCTTAACTTCTGCACCATCAGGGCTCTAGGGCTTGGGTAGCCCCTTGAAATCAAACACATTAATATTTCTCAGTGATATATATAATTATTTTAAGTGTATAAAAAAATAAGCTAATATCAATTCAGGTGAGATTTGCCTCCAAATAAATTTTGCTGTCAAATTTACAAAACCTTTTAGTTTTCAGAGCTTTTTAATTTTGGAATTTCAGGTAGGGGATTCTGGACCTGTAATTGCCTCAGAGTCCAGAGTATCTGGACTTTAATTTATTTAATTAATATAATATAATTTATATAATTATATTAATTTATATAATTAAAACATTATATAATGTTTTAATTTCTAGCTTATTACAGAAACATTTTATATAGGTATGGATAAATCTATAAATTGTGTAGCATTTTGGAAGAAGACATTTGATATGAGTGTTCTGAACAGGGAAGAAACCCACTACCATTGAGTGCATTCGACTCATAGTGACCCCCCCATAGGGTTTATAAGACTGTAAATCTTTATGGAGGTAGATTGCCTCATCTTCTTCCCAGGGAGCAGCTGATGGGTTTGAACACTGACCTTCTGGTTTGCAGCCAAATGTTTTACCCACTGAACTTACCACCAAATGCCTTACCACCAGAGCTCCTTTATTTTTAGAATAAGTACTCAATAAATCATTACTGAGGAAAGAAATTAATATTCTTAGTACTTTTTACCCAGCAGCCTGAAAGCTTCCCTCACTCCCTTTGTTCTTAATATTCATTAATTTACTCATTCATCCCACAATTATTTGTTGACCACTTTCCATATGCTAGGCAGTTTGCTGAAAACTGGAGGGCAGGATCTGTCTCTGCCTTTAGAGAACTTATGGTCAGTCTACTTAACTTTGTTTTACATGTTCCTTTTTGCACAACCTCAGAAACTCATATTTTCCACTTTATCTAATATCTTAGAATTTAGAAGTATATTTGAATATAGTGATAAGCAGTTGTCTTTCCTTGTTCTAATTCTTTGAACAGTTTAGTTTTGTTTTGTTTTGTTTAAATGTAGTTAGAATCTACCAGTTGGTTAAATCTTCAAAAAAAAACCAAACTCACTGCCATCCAGTTGATTCCAACTCACAGCAACCCCCATTGGTCTCCAAGGTGGTAAATCTTTATGGAAATTGAGTGCCCCGTCTTCCTTCCATGGAGCAGCTGGTAGGTTTGAACCACCAAAATTCTAGTTAGCAGTCAAATGCTGTTCTGGTGATCTAGTGCCACTCTGACAGAAATATACCACAAATGGGTGGGCTTGAATAAACAGAAGTTCATTCTTTTACAGTTTGGGAGGCTAGAAGTCTGAGTTCAAAGTGCCAGGCTCTAGGGGCTGGGTGAAAGCCCCTCAACCTTGGGTTTCTGCTCTGCCTTTTGCTCCTGGCCCACTGAAGCTGAAGGCTTCTCTTCTCTCAGACAGCTGCTGGCTGAACACTGGAGGGCAGGATCTGGAAAATTTTACCAAACATTCAGGGAAGAGTTGACACCTATACTACTCAAGTTATTCCAGAACATGGAAAAAAGTGGAATACTTCCAAATTCATTTTATGAAGCAAGCATAACACTAATACTAAAACCAGGGAAAGGCACCACTAAAAATGAAAACTGCAGACCAATATAGATGCAAAAATCTTCAACAAAATCCTAGCCAACAGAATCCAACAACATATCAAAAAATAATACATCCTGACCAAGTGGGATTCATACCTGGTATGCAAGGATGGTTCAGCATCAGAAAAACAACCATGTAATCCACCACATAAAACAAAACAAAAGAACCATATGATCATATCAATCAATGCAGAAAAGGCATTTGATAAAATCTAACACCCATTCCTGTTCAGAACTCTCAGCAAAATAAGGATAGAAGGGAAATTCCTCAACATAATAAAGGGCATATATGCAAAGCCAATGGCCAACAGTATTGTTAACGGAGAAAAAGACTCAAAACATTCCCCTTGTAAACGGGGAACCAGACAAGAATGCCCTCTATCACCACTTTTATTTAACTTTGTATTGGAAGTTCTAGCCAAGGTAATAAGGCAAGAAAGAGAAGTAAAAGGTATCCAAATTGTCAAGGAGGAAGTAAAGCTATCTCTGTTTGTGGATGACATGATCCTGTATATAGAAAACCCAAAGGACTCAACAACAACAACAACAAAATTACCAGAACTAATACAGAGGTCAGCAAAGTGGCAGGATACAAGGTCAACACACAAAAATCAGTTGGATTCCTCTACATCAACAAAGAGGTCTCTGAAAAAGAAGTAAGGAAAACAATACCATTTGCAATAGCTACCAAAAAGATAAAATACCTAGGAATAAATCTTACCAGAGATACAAAAGATTTATGTAAAGAAAACTATAAAATACTACTACAAGAAACTACAAGGGATCTACATAAATGGAAAAACCCGCCTTGTTCATGGATAGGAAGACTGAATATTGTGAAAATGTCAATACTACCCAACACATTTAGTGCAATCTTGATTCAGATACCATCAACATTTTTTAAGGATATGGAAAACACAATCACTAACTTCATATGGAAAAGAAAGAGACCTTGGATAAGCAGAACACTACTGAAGAATAAGAAAAGTGGGAGGTCTCACACTCCTGGATCGCAAAACCTACTATACAGCCACAGTAGTCAAAACAGCATGGTACTGGTACAATGATAGACCAATAGGGCAGAATTAAAAAAAAAACAGAAATATACCCATTCATCTATGGACAGCTGATCTTTGACAAAGGACCAAAACCCATTAAGTGGGGAAGAGATAGTGTCTTTAACAAATGGTGCTATCAAAATTGGATATCCACTTGCAGAAAAATGAAACAAGACCCATACCTTACCCCATACACAAGAACAAACTCAAGTTGGATCAAAGACTTAAATGTAAAACCCCAAACTAAAAGTTCATCAGAGATAAAATAGGGGCAAATCTAGAGGCCCTAATTTATGGCATAAATAGACTATCAAGCATAACCCAAAATGCACAGGTGATGGAAGAGAAACTAGGTGACTGGGACCTTTTAAAAATTAAATTCTTATGAGCATTGTAATACTTCTCCAAAAGGGTAAAAAGAGATTCTACAGACTAGGAGAAAATATTTGTGTATGACATCTGACAAAAGATGTCTCCAAAATTTATCTCCAAAACTTATAGAAAACTTGAACACCTCAACACCAAAAAGACAAAAATGCAATTAAAAAATGGGCAAGGGACATGAACAGATAATTCACTAAAGACGATGTGCTGGGGGCTGGCAAACACATGAGGAATTGCTCAGTCATTAGCCATTAGAGAGATGCAAATCAAAGCAATGATGAGCTATCATCTCACCCCATCAATAATAGCAAAGTTCAACAGGAAAGAAAATAACAAATGCTGGCAAGGTTGTGGACAGATTGGAACTTTCATACAGTGCTGGTGAGATTGTAAAATGGTACAACTGTTGTGGAAAATGATACGGTGTTTCCTTAAAAAACTGAAAATAGAAATACCGTTTGAACCAGCAATTCCATTACTAGGAATATATCCTAAAGAGGTGAGAGACAGGACATGAACAGGCATATGCACATCCATATTCATCACTGCACAATTCACAATAGCAAAGAGATGGAAACAACCTAAATGCCCATCAACAGATGAATGGATAATCAAATTATGATTCATTCACACAATGGAATACTTTGCTACCTTAAAGAGCAATGAAGAATATGTGAATCATCTCACAATGTGGATGAACTCAGAGGACATTATGCTGTGTGAAATAAGTCAATCACAGAAGGACAGATATTGTATGAGCCCGTTACTATAAAATGTCAAGGAAGGGTTTGCTTAGTGAAGGGAACTCACTTTGTAGGTAATGGGGATGAGAGGGAAGGAGAGGAGAAAATTTTGAACTAGTTAGGGGCCACACACTGAATTGGGTAAGGAGTGGGACGGTATGGAAAGAGTCTGTGTGTGGTGTAGTAAATTACTTAGTGTGGCTTCCCTACCCATAAGTCTTTGTAAACTCCAAGGTGGGATTTTCTATGAGCAACTGAAGAGCTCCGGATTACTGAAGTTGTCCACCTGGAGTATTTCTGTTGGGAGTGGCACAAAACAATGTTTTGGGAGGTGCCCACTCTCTCTCAAGTGCTTAGAGTTCTGATGCTATGATTGGCTAGTTTGACCACCCTGCTGGGCTCAAAAGGAGGCCTCCTAGAGGCAGAACGCTCTCTGACTTCTGGTTGAGGAAGACGTGCTGCTGCAAGAGACACGCGCTCCTGAAAAAGACACGCACTGCTGGGAAAGAGATGCAAGAGACGTGCATTGCTGAGTGAGACACCGAGGGACACCCACTGCTGGGAGAGAGACTGTGAGAGACTGTTGGCTGAGGGATGGTGGGCTGGGAAAGAGACTGAGCTTGAATTGTAGCCTGTGGTGCTTCCCTAATAAACCCCATAATCTGTGAGCTCTGTGTGG